GTACTGAAATTATGACCTATGGATACTTTTATTTGTGTCATTCTACAAAATTGCTCCAATGAAGCATTAAGTGGCAATAACGTATATAATAAACTCTAATAATAATAAACTCTACGAAACATTATTCGGGGCATGGCTAGTAGATGAATTATTTTAATATAAAAAATAGATCAGAGTGAATTATCAATATCTTATATACATTCTATACTGTATCATGTAGCCTGAATATTCTTGCTTCTAATAATTAGGCGCATTAGCAATATTTGTTCTGTACAAATAGCTGCATTTTATTACTACTAGTCGAATTTCGGTAAATAGAACCGAAACGTTCAAGTGAGCATTAAACTGTATTGCAACTGTAACAATAAGCAACCATCCGTTAAAAGAATTACGACAATTTTATTCGTCGATCAATAAGCGATGACGCATTTTCTCGTCCATTCCCTTTCTCCAGTGAAATAGATCTCGCTTTGGGTATGTCACAAAAGAGCTTAGAGATTTCTCTTCCTCTTGGAATACAGCACTTTGCGTCCTGCTTCCGGTTTCAGACGGGATTGGGATTGTTTCCCACTTCCTTTCTTATTTCGCACTCCATATGACGCATCCTAGGAAATTCCCTTCTCCTGTTCCCATTTAAGTTTATTGGTGGAGGCCAAACATCGTATTTTATCACGAATGGGAATTTTTTCTGAGTAATCTAAGCATGTTATCATGAAAATTATCATTGGCACTCGTATCATATAAAGATCTTACTATTCTGAAACGTTCATAATTTTATTACCTTATAATATAATTTGAATGCCTCTTAGATGCGGTCATTAACCGCAGATATAAATTTTAAACGTATTGTTAAAAAGGAATATAATTTATATAAATAACATACGTGTTTTATGCACATTTGACAAATGATTTGAAAAAATATATCATTAAATTTAATGTTATATTATAAAAATTTCACGTGGATTGCTAAATATTAGAAGCAGCGTAATTTTCCTGAATCCGTAGATAAAAACTTCAGCATTTATCACCGGAAATCGCGGGACAACGAACGCTATACATAAGACGGTATAAATTTAAATACAGAAATATATAATTTAACAACACATTGCGAACATTATTAACAGTAAATAAAGTGTTAAAAAATATTGTGCTTTAGGAGTTTTTCTCTTTCTCTCTCTTATATACCTTGCACTAAACACATTGGAACGGTTCTATATCTCCCATACTGCTGGACTGACTGATGAAATTTAACTTGCGTTTTTCATGTCTCGAAAGCGCGACTTGGGCTGTATATTAGATTAAACACTGGATTTCTCCTCAAAGATATTCGTACAATATCACAATATCTAGCTGTATTTTAAACTACTAAAACGCAGTAGTTGTATTTTTAACTACTAAAACGTTAAAGAGATGAACGCAATCCAAAGCGCAGAGAAAGCTAATTCGATCTCACCGCGAATTCGCTACTGTTAGCAACAACAATTAAGTAAACAACTGAACTGAGATATTTCTCTACGGCTATTTAAAGCTTTTTAATTGGTCATGAAAAAGTTCTGGTAATTTCTGCTTCTCGAGATTTCTGGAAAGCAAAATTGCGGTTACAGCTAACACAGTAGTCAATTAAATTTATTCAATTTAAATATAAATTACGAGATATCTATTTATTAAATGTTAAAGGCTCGTGCTCTTGTATTTTTACTTTTCCGCCGTAGCTTTCTCTTAAAATACGTTTCGTGCTGCATCGCACGGGGATATAAAACAATTTTAATTATAATTCTACTAAAAATAAATAACTAAATACAAAATCTGTAACAATATGTATTAACGAGGTAAAAAAGGAATCAAATGACAAACTTTCCAGAGCTTAAATATTGCGGTAACAAACATCACAGGAGAAATACATAAGCGACAAAATTTCACAATTTCAAAACATCATGATAAAAACATACTACAAAACATACTGTACAAACGTACTACGCAAATAAATAAAACAAAATAAGTTAAAAATATTTGAATAAAGCAACTATAAAACATCATGTGACAAAAATGTAGCACATATATGCATTCCATGTGTCTTATAAGACAAGAGTCCTATGAAATATTTTTGTGATGACAGAAATGGCCTAAAAATTTTAACTGGGAAAAAAATATAAGAGATAGTTTTCTTCGCTTAAACTACTAATCGATATCTTTTATATTTTTAAACTTTTGTGTAAGATTTGTAAGTTATCCCTTAAAGATAGCAAAAGAACAGCTGAAATGAACTAAAAACTAAATTAAATAGGAACAAGAATTGGCGTAATATAAGTAAACGTGCACCACTCCAGCTACCGAAGGTCAAAAAGAACTTCCTTCTTCAGTTGTGATTTCCCCTTCTCAAAAAAGAAGGTTTTATTTGACTATAGTGCTGCATATTTACTTATGTAATTCAAATTCTTACTATTAATTTTTCTCATTATAATTCGTATGGTTTGTATTTGGGCATTTAGCATCTTCTTTTTTTCTTCTGTTAAGTAATAGATTATCAAGCGTTTTCTCCTTTGCGAAAATGTAAAACCGGGCTTGCTAACAAATTTTGCCTCAGTTACCATTATGTAGAAAGAAACTGTTAATACTCTTTTCCGCATATCCCAAAGAGTTCAATATTGTTTTTTCTTAGGACCATAGATTGAAATGTCCTGCCAGGTAGGCTTCCTTATTTGCAGATTCCATCAAGTCAGTTACTGTTGTAATGTCATCGTCTTCCAACTGGTATTTCCTGACGTCTTCGTCACTCCATGGGTTTGGGTGAGTTGATGTTTGAAGTTTTAATTTGACCGGATTAACCAGCTAGAATTTTTCTTCGCCCCTGATATGTGGTAGATTATCGGCAGCTTTCTGGGCAGGGTGTCGGCGTTTCCGTACGATGATCCTTTCCTATGATGGAGAGGTATGTCGTATTCCTGGAGTCTCTGTACCCATCTGGCTATTTGGCCTTCAGGATATTTAATAGCCATTTCAACAGTGTATGATCTGCATGTAGTAGGAATTTTCTGCTGGAGATGTAATTGTGGAAATATTCTACGGCTTTAACTATGGCAAGCAACATTTTCCTTGTGACACAGCAATTCCCTGCGGGTTAGGCATACACTTGCTCCAGTACACCACGACACGTTCTTGAACATTTGTTTTTGGGGATAAATTATACTCGCATTGCTCCCATCCGTGTCGGGAATAATAGGAGCTGATAATACGTAACGATTATCGTAGATGCTAAAGGCTATTTCAGTTTGTTAAATGCATCCTCCTTGCATTCTTTCGTCCACAAAAATTGTGTTCCCTATCTGTCAGTTTGTGAAGAGGACTCGCGATGAGGGAAAACTCCTACGGGGGGGGGGACATTACTCCATTGTCACTTATTAGTAACCAAGATATAGGTTTGAATGCGTTAAATGTTAAGAATTTAGGTAGATTTTAATCGAAACATTTTTATTTATATTTGTAGAAATGCTACCTACTTTCAAAAGTTTACACTGTGAATAATTTCTATCTATTAATATTAAAATTAAATTAAATACTTCTTTATCTATTTGAAAAACAAAAATTAATTTGTTCTGCGAAGATTATAAAAAAATTTGCTGTGGTTTTCACATATATGCAAAAAAGAGAAGAAAAATCCCAAAATGCCAAATAACGCCACTCAAATTCCAAATTTACGTTAGTGGGAAAGACACAAAATTTTGACCAGTTGAACTTCTATTTCTTTCTGCTGAGCTTAGCTAAGTTAAGATACTTTTAAAGTTTTATCAAAAAATGTAAACAAACAAAAATAAGATTGTTTAGTAAAAGCAAAGTATAAATCAAGATGCATCAAGAGAAATCTGAGAAGGATGAAGATATCTTGAAACAAATAGCACGTTCCTTTTTTCCAATGGTTAACTAAAATGGAGAAGGAATAAAGTACATTATTTATGGAGATATAAGCATCCCATAAAAACTGTGCTTAATGGCGTATTCATAAGGTGAGAAAAATTGAAATGCCGTTGGAATAATTGCAATATACCTCTTCATTCAGGCGGTGTTCGACTTTAAATTCCAAAGATTTCACTTCTACGTATGCGAATAAAGGATATAATTGCGAGCCTTAAGTGTCTAGTGTGATGTATCTTACAGTAAATGTCCAATCTGCTGATCAATGAAGTCTACGGGTGCAACATCACATATTGGATTATAGGCTGCTTGACACATTTAAAGATGAAATGTCTGAATGTTGTCTAAGGCTAACTGAATGTATGCAGTGAGTTACGCTGTAATATTTAAGGACTCTTAGAACATAGATAGATTCTTATAGCCGTATAAGATAATCTCGAAGGCTTTCAAGGCTAACGATTTACAGACACAAAGAACATCACCGAGAATAAGTTATGGACGTCTCGTCGTCCAAATTGCCGTGAATGAATTATACCGAGAATAACTCATGTGTGTCTTCTCGTCCGGACTGCCAGAAGTGACGGTACGGGATTTTGTAATCGACTAACTTCTAAACGAAGCAGTGTACTTATTTTTCTGAACTCCACATTTCTCATATTTTTGTCTGAAATGCCCTGTAAATCTTTGCTATTTTATTGAGAATTTTAAAACATATATCTCTGATGATTACAAAAGGTAAATAATGTAGTTTTTCTAATCTGTACTCTGCTTTAGATGTTATCCTTTCTTTGATATAAAGTAATATTATTTTAGGATCCTAATGGCCATAGTGCATGGTAGTTTCTGTATGCATATTAAAAAATGGATCGTCCGATACATAGCTATCAGTGGATAAAAATATTGTTATTTATGCAGCAAACCTGTAATTATAACGGAGCATTTAAATTATCTTCTTTATAATCAATCTAAGTAGTAAGATGAAAAAAAATAAAACTTTATTCAAATTTGTTATTTTTTATGTTGTTGGCTGTATCAAAATTTATTGTTGATCTCCTCAAACATTTTAAATGAAATGTTTTCATTTTTTGTAGGGTGTGACGTACCCTGCTTGCCACGGGATTTGGCGTCACTGGGCCCCACCGATGGAACGGAGTCGCTTGGCTACCTTAGCTTTCTGCGGTATTTATATTTTCCATTTATCTCTTCTTGCTCGAAATAGTAAATTCTCACAGCAGTTCAGATAAATTAAGCAATAACCTTCATGTATGATAAATAATAAACATGACAATGAAATAGTGCAGATTCCGTTTCACTTCACTATAATAAAGTAAGCAAGTAAATGTATGATAATTATTTATGGTTTTCCCAATGCTTTTAAAAGTTACATTGACCTTTAGAAACGTCTTCATCTTACGAATATAGCCATAGGAGATGCCCTAGGTGATAGGGAACAACTCGCCATGTCGCTAAATTATGTCAAAAGATATAACAGTTTTGAAAAATTCTGATATAAAAACTATACCTGTTTTTTAATCAGATAATCAGAACCAGTTTTTAAATCAGAGAAAGTATTTCAGTTTTGGCACAATTCCAATTGATTAGGAAGGCTTTCGCGCAAAATTCTCTCACTAGCTTTGTTCTTAGTTTAAAAAACTGAAATGAGAACTAAGAGCAACAAGGCATAAATCCTGTGCACTCAGAATTATCACAACTTGAAAACAAGGGGAGGTATCTTTTCTTTTTTTAGTCTAAAAGGGTTGTTAGTCTTGAAACACAATTTTGCATTGTTTCCCTTTAACGCATTCTTTCACTTTTCATTTGAGTCTGTTTCTATTCTGAAAACATAAGATGTTATTCTTTCATATTTAATCTGTCAGTGATTAATTAAAAAACTAAATTATTCAAGATCAATAGATCTAGTTTTAATCTTTTAACCTTTTTATCTGATCGATTTAAATAAAAATGCATTTTATTCATGATATAGCTAATTAAAACATCAAATATTTTTATAGAATTACATTAAATATTTTTTTACTTTTTAAATAGACAGAAAATATATAACTTCCCCATGTTAGTCTGAAGACATAGTCAGCTTATATCCTACAATACTATCTCTATCGATAATCTCTGCTGATAAACCAGATTAAATTTTAAAAGCACCCTTTTGAGCTATTTATACTCTTTCAGATTTTTAGTCCAAAGGGCCAAATTGCCCAGAAAGACTATAATTTCGTTTTCGCATTTTTTGTTGATTCACTACAAGCGTTGTTTCACTTTTCAAATTGTTGCTACAAAATATTATCTCCCTGTATTATATTTAAAGAAATTAAATAATGAAGGATCCGCATAAATGTATGTGTGTTTCTCGCATTGTGATAAAACAACGGTACCTAGAGCCATCCAATTTTGAATGACGTAATCCTACTGCGAATATAGGCATCTGGAAGCCCAAATTTGAAATTTGTAATTTGTTTTATTATTGACTTCATATTGTGTAAAACTTTCAGGAATTTTCGATCAACAAACTCAAGGATTTCAAAGCTAGCAATGGCAACGTTGGACAGAAAAAAAAAACATTTTTATCTCCAGCGCACGAGACTGTGCATGTGAAATTCTAACGATATGTTCATTTTAAAATTATTTTAGGATATTGCTCTTGAACTGAATTTTATATTTTAAGTTCGAAGAATATGATATTTAATAAATAAAGGTAACACACCAAATGTTAAAAAAAAAACGCTCCTTTGGACGTAATTTAAAATCTGAAACCTTTTTTTCTAAGTTTATAAAGATTAGAATTGTAGAAAATATAATTACCATAGTAATTTTAGGAACCTCACACCTCTCTTTTCCTTCTCGTAAGTTTGGAAATTTAGTTTGGTAATTTGCCAGTTAAAACAATATCATATTTTGCATAATGTTAATTACTTTTTTTGGACTAAATTTTCATTCGACTTAAATTGTACAATAAATCATAACAAACATAAAAAGCGTTGCTTTTTTGGTTAAGCAATTATTATTTATCGGTAATTTTATTTTATAATCAAATTTTTTGAGCATTTTTCTTTCTCTTCTTTACCTTCTCTTGGCCAATTTTTTTAAGTAAATATAATTTCTTGAAACTTCCAGAATTCCTTTATGCATCCTTTCTTCTCATCACATATTTTTAAAATATTCACTAATATTTTCTGTGTTTGTTTGTTTATTTATATACTAGTGGCAGTACCCAATGCCAGTTAAGTTAGATTGGGAGTAATACATCTAGCAACAGAAAGAACGATACTGCCGTAAGGGTTCTCTAATAACGATGCAAAAAATACGATTCATAGTCATACATTTTTCAGTCTGATGCGCTATGGAACCCACATAAAAAATCTCGATAGAAAAATAAGCTAATTCTCTCTCATTATATCAGCAACAATGGCACGCAGTTTTAACGATTTTCGTCTTTCTAATCAAACGGTCATAAAAGCTCAAGTTCCATCCAATATTTCACCCATATTCAAGTTTAGTCGATTACATGTGGCAAAACATTTATCATAATTGATCAGAAATTAATAGCGTGAACTAACAAACAAACAGATATTCTTCTTTATATGTATAGATTTTGTAAAACTTAGAAATCTTTGATTAACAAACTCTACGATTTGAAAGCGAGCAGTAGCAACACATTTCGAAAAAAAGTATTTTTATCTCCAACTCGCGAGACTGTTGCCACTCAGAAAATGAGGACGAAAGTTAGCGCTTTCGGAGATTTTAATTAATATCGCGGCTTATTAAAGTCGTACGAAGATGGGAACAGTCGAAATAGCTTCCCACGAATTTTTGGAATCGGGAATAATGTATTTAATGTTTGGCAATGCTAATTTTATTTCACTGTAAAACTTAAATATTTTTTATTAACAAACTCTAGGGTAGGAAGTTTAATTTTTATTCTTGAGAATACTGAGTTGAAAGTATTTTTAAAGAATTTAAATGAATAACTAAAGGCAATCCTTCTTTGTTTTTTCGCGTTATGAACGCCGAAAGTGATAGAGGCTCGCTCACAATCTCTGAGCTCGCCAGCGCTGCTTATGTAAACCCAAATGCCCGCCAACAGGCAATGCCTTAAGCTATAACGGATAGTTCTCAAGCATCTAAACCTCTTATCGTTAATACCTGCACTAAGATGGATACCTCTGCTGCTCATCCAAAGCTCACTGAAAATAAACTTCTTCATAATTCTCTTCAAATCTAAACTCTCAAAAATCGATACCGAAACTCAACTGGAACATATCGTTAGAAACGACAGAACCAGGATAACTCTGACAAAAACCGGACGCTACCTCAGCTTCACAACGAGTGTCAGAAAAATCTTACTTTCCTTAAATCTGCTCAGTACGAGATTAGGAGTTAGTGTTTTCTCTCTTCCTGCCACCGAAGCAGAATTTATGATCAAAATTTCTAAACTTACTGACGCAAAAAAAACTGAAAAATCGCAAGCAAATACCCCTATATTTTTACCTAGCCCAGCTAATATTAACAGCAAACCCGAAAGTAAAAAACGCTTCAGATCAGTTGATTCCGAAGGATTCATATTACCCCCCAAAAATTTAGTTGCTAAGACAGCACCAACTTCAACACCTAGTCAAAATGTACCTTCAGCTTCTGCAAATCAATTTCATAACTTAGAAAATGACCCTTAATGCAACGCGAATTCTTTCCCGCAGCCGCCCGTTAACCAGCAGCCTAAAATTCAGGTACCGCCCCCAGTTTTCGTTAAACTCCGCCCTTATTGGTTCTTTTTGCTTGAAAATTTAAGACGTCAAGCCCCCAGCATCCAATCTAGGCAAGACATTGACTTTCTTAAACTCACAACTAATTCTTAAAATGACTATCGTAATTTAGTACGCTTTTTAGTTGAAAATCAAATAAAGTTTAAATCACATACTCTAAAATCGGAAATACCCCTTAAAGTTAGTTATACGAGAGCTTCCCTCGAATACACCCATCAATGTCGTCTAGGCTGCCGTCGATGTACTCGGATTTAAAGTTCACAAGATCTCTGAACTCAAAAGATGGAAGACGAAAATGCCAATGCCACTCTTCTACCTCCAGATCCATAACAGTGAAAGCTGACGAGATTTACCACGTCACAGAACTCCTGGGAACCGAAGTCAAGATCAAGTGTTTTTGTGGGAGAAAAGGTCCCTCACAGTGTTGGCGCTGCCAGGGGTTCTTTCACCAATATTTTAACGAGTATGCAACAGCTGAACCCCCCCCCCAGTTTTCCAAATTTTTCGGTCCCTCAAGTACCCTATACTACCTAAAGTTGCACCGAAATCCTTTTGGCAATAATTCAAGTTTATAACCAGCCTGGCATTGACCAGAGTAAATTACTTTTAGCATTCAAATATGCTTTGCCTCAGCTACGAGTGTCTGCCTCTGGTGCTGATACTGAGACACTATTTTTGAGAGCTATGTAGCTCTCCATTTTTCAGATTCTCCCTCATATTACAATTCAATATTTTGAAAAGTTAAAGTACTTAAAATTATCTATCTGGAATGCCAATGGCATTTTGTGTAAATATCACGAATTTCGTGATTGTGTCGAAGAGAAGGGCCTTTGACATTATCATTGTCCAAGAGACCAGACTCCATCCAGAGAGAGTTCCCAAGCTTGCAAATTACGTTACTTATAAAAATGACAAACAAACACCGTATCTCCTTGCTATTTATCATGGTGGTACATATGGCTTTATTAAAAATCATATTCCCCATCGCAGAATAGACACCCTGAGTCTGAGCAAACTCGAGGTAACGATTATCGAAATTTTTATTCAAAATTCACTTTCCTTAGTTTTGATCTCTGCCTATCTTCCACCTTTATCCAAATAAGAGACAAATTTATGGGAGGGCTTTAAAAACTGCTCAATTTATCAACCAATATCATTACTGCTGGTGATTTAAATTGTTAACACCAGGCTTGGCGTTATAAAAATTCCAACGCCGCTGGTCTTGACCTTCTAAAAAAATCGGCTCAGTGAGCCCAATTTATAACTAGACCGCCGGATTTCCCCACACGATATGATGTACGGGGAGCTCCTTCTTACATTGAGGCCCACCAGCGGCCGAGCGGTAAAGTCCTGAACACTGGTAGTTCGGTCCGAGGTTCGAATCCCGCGAACGGGCTGGCTGCA